GGGAGTGTGGGCGAGAGAGATAGACCTATTACTCTCTCCTCGCAGAAGAGCCTGTATCTCATGACAGGTTGAAGTACATCTGCATTTGGTAAATTACTTTGACCTCTAGGATAAGAAGCAGCCCTGTGATACAGGTCAGATAGACACGTAGCTTCTGCTGTATGTCTGTGTCCTGCGTCCTCGATGAGTTTCTTGTTTTCTGCTGATAGTGCCCTTCATCAAGGTATTCTGAGGATATTTTACCAAATGACGTGCAGTCATGCACAGACTGATTAGCTGTTTGGCCATGTGAGTTCACAATGCCTGCAATGAAATAATAGCTACCAGAACCTCTCTTCTCTAGATGCTTCACCGGAAATGCGAAAGATCTTTCTAAAAAATTATCTCTGTTGCCTTCTTGATTTCTTGTCATCCAAGCATTACAGTTATCTTAACTCAAACTCAGTAATTTTGGCAAGAGGCTACAGAGGTTTTACTGTGGACAGCATGCTACTAAGAAGCAGCAAAGATCATAATTATAAATTGCACTATTTAACAACACCCCAGAAAACTTCTGGTCCAGCAGTACTGCTAAATAATCCCGTAATCTCTCATTGAAAGACTCTATGAGCTAAGGAAATATAATTGATTGGTTTTATGGTTTAGAGTTTTTTTCCCCTTTAAGTTTTTGTATCATGAACTAGATCCTGGTCAACATCCCCAAGGATAGTTTATCTACCTATCTACTCAGATTCCCAAGCAAGCATGGTCCACCACTGTGTCAGGCAGGAGTATTGTAGTTTTCTGTAGGTTCTTGTTTTGAGAGGCAAGAGAAGAGCCTGACTTGTTATGAGAGGGTCTTTTTGATGTATTTATGATAAGCTTGCATTGAACACACATGCAGTTTGATAGCTTGAGTCAGGAGAAAGAATCACCATTTGAACTTTAGTTATTTGCATGGTTATAGGGACATGTAGCAGCTCCACCTGCAAAAAATGGACAGTGGAAATAGAGAATGATACCGGATGCAACATTTTACCCATGAGGATTTGTTTAGCTTGTAGAAAAGTAGAACAAGGTTAGTACTAACTTGTGTCATCATCGTCATCATTCCCACCTTCCTTCCCCAAGCAGCTCAGAGCACACACGTACAGTGCCTGCTATAATCTCCTTTTCTACTTGTAGTTGTATTCCAGTAATCCCTTTTCCTCCTTATAGTTGCTTGCATTCTAATACCTAGCCTTTTATCCCTTCTTCCTTCTCTTCTGGTGGTCTCAGAAAAATACAAATTGTCTGATGTAAGTAGCAGTACAACTCTTTTGAGACAGAAGTAGCAAAAGAAAATTTGCCCTGTGTGTATGCAAGAATCTGTGTCTATGACATCCTCAGCCACCCTGCCTTGGGAGTTGGTGGAGGATTTCCGTGGTGGCGTGGGTGGCTTCTGTTTTTTTCTTCAAGACCTGCTCAGCCGACCTTTTACATACCAAAGTTCAGTTTAGTTTGGTCTAAAATAATCACAGTTTTAGTATCTTACTTTACCTGATATTTTAGATGTTTTATTTCATAATACAGATATTTATCTCGTAGTAGGGATTTATATCTTATGAGAGGGGTAGAAAAATTAAAGTGACATGTTTAAGAAAGCAAAAATGAACATTGCTGACCCACACAACTAAATTCACTCTTGACTTTACTGTCTAAACATTGAAGAATGTGATTTCTGAGGTATAGTTTCTTCTTTCTCCCACCTACAAAAACAATATTTTCCTTTCTGGGTTAGTCTTCCTAACCTTGAACAGAAAGACTAAGAGATATCTAGCTCTGTAAAGAAAACAAAAGAAGCAAAATTTTAATACTAGATAATGAAGAAAAATAGTTTGAAGAATGTAATGTATAATTTATTTCACAGTTGGTTTATCAGCTGTCAGACAGTTTCAGTGCCCTGAAATACAGGTGCATTAAATTAACCAGATTGTCATCATCCATTTGGTTTGATTAAATGTGTAGATGACATGGCAAAGTTAAAACAAAACCTTGGTAAGATAATGAAAAAAAAAAAAAAAAAAAAAAGGTAGCCAGAAAAAGTCAATGGAGAAGACAGACCAGCATGGCTAAAGACAGTAAATTAAATCCTTCTCAGGAACCTGACACTGATCCAATAAAGTTCTTAATCTCATAATTTAAGCATATGAGTTTTTCCCTCTCTAAGCATGCATATTGTCCCAATGAAGTAAGGGTGAGATAAAGCGAGTTCCAAAATTGTTGCCATAGAGCTCAGCATCTGTCATACCAGAGCCTTCATTGACTTGATGGGGGACACATCCTGCAACAAGACTTGTGTATTGAATGTTATTTTTGTAGGCATGCATATGGTGGAAGTTCAGTGCAAATTATTGTTATGGTTGTATACAAAGGGCTATAAAATGTTTTATATTGTAAGGTGCAAGTCTCTTTGTAATTGCAGTGCAGAAAAAATGTAGAGGTATAGAAGAACAGATTTAAAAAATCATATACAAAAGTATATGATGTCTTGAGTTCTGCAGTTGAGAGGTTTTGTTAATAAATTATGCCCTCGATTTAAATAGACTTCAAAATCTGTAGTCAAAAGGAATCACTGTTTTGTGCTACATCGATAGAATGTCTTCTGTGAGTGTTTTCATGTGAAAAGCTACTGGATGATACAGTATAAAACTTACAATTTGCTTCACTGTTTTATTGGAAGCAGCTGCTTTACAGAGGCAATGGCTCTTCAATCAATGTGTACTGTTAGGTGTATGACGGATAGTATAAGGGCGTAAGTGCTAATTTCATCTTTGTGGATATGTAACTGCTACAGACTTAGCCACTGAAGTTACCTTGTTGCTTCTTCCTGTGGAAAAACTGTAAATTATAAAAATGAATTTATGAAATATTGCAGCTCTAAACTAACCTGCTGGTAATGTGTGCCCACTAATCTTTTTTAGAGAGCAAGGCCAAACCTTTGATTCCTATGTTTATGGCACAGGACAGGGGTTTGTAGGAGCCTAACTGAACCTTAGACAGGAGAAAGAATTGTCCAGAGTAGACTGTGGTTCTGCATCTGGAACAAGAAGCTGACAGGATTGATGCTACAAGGGTTATTATTAGTCTTATGCCCATGGCTCATCTTGTTTTGGTGCGAGATGGAACGTTTCTTTCCATGGTATTTTCATCATCTTGCATGATGCCCATCCCTTGTGTATAACATCCTTCTACACTAGAAATTAAGTGCTGCTTGGCAGAGAGCAGCTTTCCCCTTGGAAAATTTTCTTGTTGGTGGAAGTTCTCTGCCACCTGTCTTCTGATGCCTTAAATCTGTTGTTCGTTGTGTGTTGCTATTGTACCTGGGAATTGATGCTGTAATAATCTGCACTGCTGGTGACATGCACTTGATGAATATAAGAAGCAATTAGCGTGCCCCACAGAACATGTGTTCAAAGCAAATTTGTTGCCCTATAAGCTACTTCTGTTTCAGTGAAAAGCAATCATGTATGTAGGAAAACAGAGAGACTTTCGTTTGGGTAAGAAGAACGAAATGCAGAAAATAGTGAAAAAAATGGCAAAAGTTGCTGTGTGTCTTGTTTGTATAAATGGTAGACATAAGGGCAAATTTGTGGTTTGCCATTTTAATAGGTGCTCATTTGGCTACAAATACAAAAACTACTGAAAACCAAAACCAGGTGGCTACTCAATATTTCTTAATTCCTTTTTATATTTCCCTGATGTTTTGCAGCTGTGCAATGGTGGATCTGTGACTGATCTTGTGAAAGGATTTCTGAAAAGAGGCGAAAGGATGAATGAACTTATCATTGCTTACATTTTACGAGAAGCTCTGATGGTAAGATAAGCTTTTGGTGAAAGCACAGTCAATATTCAGCTCATATTTTTTTCTTTGAATGAATGAAGATCATGTCTCCACTAACATGGCTCACTATCTTGTATTATAGCAGTGTTTAATGAAATCAAGGTAATGTGCAATTCAGATGGTTCTTTTTGAACAAATAAGGTGAAGAACAGTTAATCTGTTTGTTTTATTATTAAGAGAATGAAAATTGATTTCTGACCATTGATTAATTTCCTCAGTAAATATGGTTCTGCATCAAAATCACTTTTCTTTTGAGAAAGAGCAGAAAATACTCTTCAACTTCTTATATCTGGATCCAAAATATTTTTATAGCAAAATAATTAATAGATTTAGTGAATTCAAACACTACTAAAACTTTTTTTTTGGCTAATCAGGATCAAGTGTCTTTATTTTTCATTTTCTTTTAACTGGAATTTGACTTTCTGCAGTGGATTTCAGGCCTTAGTAGTTTTCTTTGAATTTATACTCTAAAAATACAGATTTATTGTGCTTTTTTTCTGTTTTTATCTTAAAATTTCTTTTTGACATAAAGTGAGGCAATTAAAAAATATCAATTCCTCATGGTACGCTGTTTTTCCCATCAGCTCTGAGGATTAAAAACAAATCTCTGTTTTTAGTTTTTTCATACTTTTCTGCTCTCATTTTGTTTCTGCAAGTCTAACACAGAGGACAGAGCTGTTAGTTAAAAGTTCATGTTTATATCTTACCTTCCAGGGACTTCAGCATTTGCATGAGAACAAAACTATCCACCGTGATATTAAGGGAAATAATATCCTTTTGACCACTGAAGGAGGAGTCAAGCTTGTGGATTTTGGTATGTTATGTTTACTTATACATAAAACCAATGTTGTATTTCTGAAGTATGGAAAAGAAAATAGAATAAACACATCAGAAAAGATTAATTCTATTAAATTTTTATTAACTTTTGAGTGCTTCCTTAAAAATCACTTGGATAACCAAAGTTACTTTTTAACTTGATAGAAATAAAACATTCACACACTCAGAGTTTTTACAGCTTTGGGTTTTCCAGCAATTTTGCTAATGCTTTTTTGATAGCGTGGCTAACAGATAGAAGTCATAATATGGTGGTAGTAAATGCCAAATGCTTTGGTGTAGACACAGTAAGTGAAGTGTCCAAGTGAGTTAACAGGGTTCAAAATAAGGTTGGTGTTTAGTTCCTCCAGGACAGTGCACTGGTTCAGTGAAATTAGGAGCTGATAAGCAAAGGTTTCATGTTGTATGTGAAAGGACTTAAAACTTACTAGATACTGTGAAGAATGGGAGTGCTCCACCTCAGTCACATATATTTCATCAGTTTGATTTGAAGGAAAACAAGAGATACCACCTCAAGGCAGTAAAGGGAGAGATATTATTTAGGTAATTCCCATTTTCCAAAGTCTGGGAAGACTAACAGATAACTTCTAGAAAGTCTAAACCTCAGAATTGGCATTAAATGAAAAGGGTCTGTTCAAGTCTATTAGGCCTAAAGTGATTCTTGAATGCTGTCATCTGGTTTCGCCATACCACAGTGATTTGCCTTGGAAGTGTATTGACAATTTTTTTCATATCGGGGGGAGGTGGTGGTGGTGGTACAAAAATTTGCAATGCTTGTTATTATGAACTATTATTGTCTGGTAGCACACTGTCTTCTAATGTTTAAATTCAATTTATTGGTCACTACTTCACAGCATAGCAGACAACTGTAAATATCATAATTCCATTCAGTAGAGCAAAAATCTTTACTTTTCCTTTACCCTCCTATTTTGTTAATGAGATTTATTCAATTGATACATTTGTTTAAACTAATCATGGGATTTTAACTCCAATTAGAGTAGTGTCTTCCTTTCAGTAGATTGTATTTATGCAACTCTCATTACTTCACCCACAAAACCCCCACAACCATTAGGTTTACTAATTCTTCTGAAAATTCATGTATTTATGTTTATTATTTTATTCCTCAGATAAAACCTTCTGTTGAAAAGCCTTCAGACTTCCTAAATTATCTGCCATACACTTACTAGTATTTTCTGATAGTCTGAAAGCTTAATGTGTGGCAAAATCAATATTTTTTCCCACAGGTTTTTAATGTGTTGTGGATACTATTTTTTTTTAAGGTGCTGAAGGCAATTAGAGCTGTGGAGGGTCAATGCTTCTGAAAATTAATTCACTTATGCAGATGTCAGAACCTACAAACTGCAGGGATGAGGACCTGAATTATTTATTCCCCAGTTTCTACAATCTACTGCTAAGGCTGTAATTGAAAACTAATCTTAAAATCTTGTGGGAAAAATTGTGATGCCAAAGTACAGATGAGAACATGCACAAGGAACAAACATACATACACACACATTTATGTGGGTGAAGAGGGGCCTGTAATATCTGCAGTCCTTCCTCTCAAAGTATAGGAACTGCACCTTAATTTAGGAATAGATAGAAATTTTCTTTGGCTTTTTTTTCCCCTAAAAACAATCTGAAGCCAATAATGAGTAGTTTCAATTGGGAAAAATTTATACAGTCTTCACAAAATCATTGTGGAAGACATACCATTCACTGTTCGGGCTGATGTTTAAGGTATTCAGCTGGGATTTGGGAGATTTGTGTCTTCTGCTGAAGAGGATTTAAACCCACATTAATCAGATTCTAAGAGTATTTTTTAGCCAGGAATGTGAGTTGATGAAAATCTGTTGGCGCTGCTACAGACTGTTGTACATAAACATTTATTGGATCAGGGACTGAAACTCATAGCCATCTTCTATTATATAAGCCTGTGAATCTGCAGGCTACAGAATGGGACAGACAAGCAGGCACAATTGCCTTTTCTCCCAGTAAACGCTCAATGGAAGCGAAATTTTTGTTTTAAGTTGAACCAGTTATTACATGGGGCCAAACAAACAAACCAGAACAACCCAAATAATCACATAGCCCTTTCTAGCACTTGCACAGCTTTTCTGTTGTGGAGAGCGGAAACAGTGGATCAGGGCCTCCTTCAACCACCAAACACACTTGACAGAGGAAGTGAACCCTTCCCAAGATAATTTTTTCTGCACCATTCTACTCCATGCTGGTTGATGATGCTATGTTCCTGAAGAACCCTTTGCTCTCCTTCTCTGATACTCTTTATGGTGATTTTCCTGTCAACACATGCATAAAACTTGTATCTGAAAGATGAACCTCTGAAGTGCCTTATGGAGCACAATACTAGGAAAAGACCTATTCTCAGTCTGTATGTGTTGTGTGAATTAAATCACCTTTGAGAATGGCTTTTCTTTCCTTTGTTCTTCTTGTACTCTTTGAACTTGGTGTATAGTGTACCACCATTGCAAGTCCTTTCTTGCACAACAGTACTGACTTTCCAGAAGCTTCATTCTGTGACACAATTTATACACATTACCTTATGGCTGTTGTGTCATAGGCATTTATGTATGCTGTGACCATAGTTTCTGAACACTGCACAGTCTGTAATGGATGACCTTCACAACAATTATATGGGGAAGTAAATTGCTGTAATTCCCAGTTAACAGCTGGAGATCTGAAACTTTGAGAGATTTAGTTGCTTGAGGTGACACAGAAAATATGTGGAAAAACTCTCCCAAAATCCAGGTTAACAGTCTGAACTGTTTGCCTTTCATAGAGGTATTGATAGTTAAAATGAGAAAGACTTTGAAAGAATACCATGGCAGTGCTTCACCCAGATTGCTTTGAGTGAAATTTTTGCTTTCCCTTAAAATTCTTCTGCAATATTGTTTAATCACCCCAGTAATATCCTCATATCTAAAAAACACCCAATCCCCGTTGATACATTAATGATCAAATCAAGTAAACGAGTTTATAACATCTCCACACCAATGCTTCTGGAGCTCAATTGCTCATCAAGGAGCTGCCAGATAGCAATTATTTTAATAAACTCGCTGAGCCACAAGAACTTTGAAATACTAAGCATCCTCCTTCCCCACATCCATCCAGTATGATAATTTAGATCAGCAGAGATCTAAATCATTCTTTTTTACTACAGATATCAAGTAGCAGCCAAGGTGATCTACTCTAAGCACATCCCATGATCACAGATTCAGCCCCTGAATTCATTGTACTTCTAGATATGTTAAAAGTCCATATTTTCCTTGTAAGAGAAGAAAGTTTACTGAAGGCAGTTTTGCTACCTGAACATTTGTGGTAATTAGCTGTTACGCTGTTCTGGTAGAAAACTTTTGGTGAAGGATGCCTGAGAATCACAGCAATTATGGTCCAAACAAGGAGCATCCTCTACCACATCAATACAAATAATAAATAGCTGTGCTATATTCAAGTATAGCTGTTAAGTATTCAGTATAGGATAGAGATTTGATAGAAAAATATGCATTTACATTGAAGTAAATTTTCTGCAGCACTTTAAAGGGTGATAGCTGTATAATATATTGTATAAAAAAAGCTGAAGGCAAGCAAAGTGTGAGCCAGATTTCCTTTTTTATAAATATTCTTCATTAATAAGCAAAGGTAAATATAATTTTCTGGGAAGGAAATCTTTTACATCTCTTTTTCAGAATTCTGGTTATATACAGTTGATTTAGTTGAAAGAGTCAGATCTCAAAAGAAATTTTAGCCATTTAGCCACTGAAGGTTCAGAAAAGCACCTAGTAAAATTTTTAAAATTCATATATTCATGTGCCTCTTACAATGTGTAACCAATTTCATAGGGAGCTGAGCATATAACATCTGCTTATGCTGACAAATACTTGCTTCTTTGAATAGTCCCTCTGAATTAAATTTCTTTTCTTGAAATCAGGATGCTGCACAAGGCCTTTCATGTATTAAATAATATTAGTCAAAGACACAGTTCCTGTTTGGAAATTCTGAGATGTCAGATAACGTGCTGTTGCAAAATGGGAGAAAAGAAATTTAGCTGTATTATTATTATTGTTATTATTTTAACTCTGGTCTGCAAGCATCCAAGTAACATTTCATTTTGAAAGAATTGACATGTTTCTGAACTCCCTTGACATTGCAGTGAGCCTGGGAGCTTGAAAGCCAGACCTTTTCACGTTTGTATGTTATTGAAAGAAGAGGATCCTAGAGGACACAGCTCCTGTCAGCGGACAGGTTGCTGATGTGTGCGGAGTCATGGAGGAAAGAACCATTTTTCCACTAAAAGTTTTGAAACATATACAGTCATGTGGCAAGTGATTCTTTTATCTGAAAACAGGAGAGTGTAATGCTCATGGAAAATTCCTCTTCAGCTATGCTTAGGGATGACCTTGTAGGCTGGTAGTCTGGAACAAGAGTACAGGTAGCTCCTACTTCCATGGGACTGCTGAAGCCTGATGTTACAAACTAGAAATATCTCAGGATGAGCAGCTGTTGCCTTGGAAATGTCCAGAAGAAAATTACGTATAAATTGTATTCCACCTCTTAGGCAAATACATAGTTTTCCAGCAGCACTGTTCTTTGCTAAAGGCCATGTTCTTCTATGCATCGAATGAAAACTTACTTTCATACATGTAATTAGACTGTTGACGTTCTTGCCATGAAAGATCATTGGGGGGGGGGAAAGTCAAACATCTAGATGGGTATTAGAAATCTTATGAAAATACAATGTTGGAGGATTCATTAAATCTTTAAAATTTAAGCCTATTTCTATCTACAAGAGATCCCATGATTTCCCCCAGTTTGCCTAGTAACTTCACTGTTGTAAAGGGGATATTGAAAAGGATTGACACTGTTCCTTATCTTCTTAGGCATTTAATTAATGGTATCTAAAACTTCTCCATCATTAGATTCTCTGGATAAGCAATACATAGGAAAGATCTAAGGGTTTTTTTT